AGTGTTGTTAAGGGAAACTGAAGGATCTTTTAGAGACCTTTGAGTTCCTGTAGTGCAAGTGGTTAATTACTTGGCAGCTAACTGAAAGGTTGATGATTCAAGTCCACTCAGAGGTACCTCAGAAGAAAGACCTGGTGATCTCCTTCTGAAAACCAGCCATTAAAAACCCAGTGGAGCAGAGTTCGATCGTGATACATAGTCGGAATCAACTCTGTGGTAACTGGTTTGTTTCTAGAGGGAAGGAGGAAGTGTGGCAGAGTTTAGATAGCTTAAAAATGTAACTGAGGAGATTCAACAGAGAAACAAGTAAGAAAATATACAAGGATATACATAAAAGATGGCACAACTCCTCACATCTGGTACCATCTAATTGGTCTCCCTGTCATTCTGATCAGTCTCCCACACAGCTGCTAGAAGAACTCTCTAAAATGCAAGTCTAATCATGTGACACCTCTGTTTAAAAGTCCTTCACAAGAACACCCACACTTGCAGATAATACCCACTTGACCTGGCTTCAATGACTGGATGATCAGAGCTCAACTAGACGAAGAAAGAAGAAAAAAAAGAGTAATCTGATACAATTTGATGAACTTGACCCTACACCAACGGATGCAGTAGCTCAAAAGAGGGAACAAATCTTTGCAGCGAGGATCATTCCCACTCCCTCCATACACATTGGACATTGGCTACCCAAAATGGAGGAGGGGAGGCTACAAAGGCAAGAAGTGACTGGCTTATAAACTTTCAAGAAGGACCCTAGATCCAGAGGGCATGGAGGAAGGTAGACTCTCCACTGAGGAGTATCCAATCTGTCTGGGTGGAGCTGATGAAAGGAGATGCGGATAGGTCTCTTGTGATACAATAGTGAATAATTGTTATCAGGACTTTTTGTGAGGGTTGGAAATGTAAAGGTAGACGTTTTGTAGCAAAGGGAGGAGAGTCATTGACTTTGCAGTCTAGGAGCAGAGGTCCCTGGGACCATCAAGGGAGAAGAGTGGAGAGCAGGACCCTACCCAGAAGAACAGTGACGCCAGAGATGGGGGCAGAGAGGATGAGGTGGAGAGTTAGAGCATCAGGTTCTCTAGACCCAGAGGGGGAAGAGGGGCTATGTGCTGACGACCACGGGGCAGGCTTGCAGGGTATATACCCTTTGGTTAGTTGATGATGCAAGGAGGGGACTGTAACCATGGCAATGTAATGACATACAATACGATGAATGTAAAGCTAATGTTCTCCCATGTAAACTATCACATAATTCACAATAAAACATTAATTAAAAAAAGTCCTTCAGAGGTCGCCATTACTTCCAGAATAGTCCGGATTCCTTAGCAGGCATTTGACATTCTTCATGAATTGGTTCCCCAAACCATTCCCATCTTTTCTTTTGGCAATTGCCTCAATTCCCCTAGGCCAAGTCGGTCACCTCCACACACCATACTGCTCCATGTGGCACGCTTGCACATTCTTTTCCCTTTACCTGGAGAGTTCCTATTCTCCACATCCACTGGTAAAGTTACCCTACAAAATTCCACTCATTTCACCTCCATAAATCCTTCCAGATGAAAAATCCACATCCTCCTCAGTACCACTTCTGAATCTTGTTCAGCCTTCTATTTTCCTATGAATTATGCTATTGTGTTTTGGAATTATGAGCTTACTGGCAGTTTCCTCTACTGGACTCTACGATCCTGCAGGAGAAAGACAGTCTGCTGAACTGAACTGAGGCTGAACAGACAAAAACCACCACTGAAATCATGTAAATATATATTCACAAACATTGTTAAATGTCATCGAGTTCATTCTGATTCACAGTAACCCTGTTTAGGGTTTCTGGAGAAGCTGGTAAGCTTAAACTGCCAACTTTGCCGTTCAAACTGACTTTGCAGTCTAGCACATTAACCCCACAGTGTCACACCAGGACTCCATTAGGATGCTATAGTTATAACTGTTGTTCTTAGTGCCACCAAGTTGGTTCCGAATTATAGTGACCATGTATAGGGGTGTTTCCAAGACTGAAAATGTTTGTGGGGGCAGAAGACTCATCTTTCTCTCGTGGAGTGCCTGGTGGGCTTGAACCACTGACCTTGTACTTAGTAGTCCAGTACTTATCCTACAGAGCCATCGTGTTCCTCATAGCTATGACTAAAGTGACTGAAATGATAAATAACAACAACATCAGCCATTTATTGAGCCCTGGTGTGGCACTGTGGGCTAATGCATCAGACTGCAAAGTCATTTGAACTGCAAGGTCGGTGGTTCAAGCTCACCAGCTGCTCTGTGGAAACCCTACACAGGGTTGCTATGGGTTGGAATCGACTCGATGGCAGTTCACAACAAGCTTTGTAAAATGAGAAAACAGCCACAGATGAATGAAGAAACTTGTCTGTGAGCACTGCAGACACAAAGTGGCAGAGCTAGGATTCAAATCCATATCTGATATCAAAGTTATGAACTGAACACTCATTAAGCTGATGAATATAATAGGAAGTATAGTCCTATGATCTGTTCAGGAAAGAAAGTGGGAAACAGAACATCAACTAAACTGTATAAGAAAAAGAATAAATATAGCAGTAAGTATAAAATCACCTATCACCATACCCTACTTCTTTAGAAAAAATAAACCAAGAAGAATTTTCTGATGAAAGTAAATTTTCAAGCGGGAGATGCATCCAGACAGGAAAAAAGGACTTTGTGAAGCTACAAAGGCAGGAAGAACAGTGGAAAGTGCCCATCTGAAGTCTGGTGGATGTGGATGGGCTAAGGAGCAAATGGTCAAAGGCTTGAAACCAACATCAATTACTGCTTTGAGCATTAACTGTACTATGATTAAAAAGGTCTCTCACAGTAGGGATTATATTTGGTTGAAAAAAGAAAAGAAAGAAAATAGTTTCTAACATCTCTGCCCCACTCCCCATTCTTAATATGCCTTAGCTGACCTATTCTCATTTTAAGTGCACATCTTTTTTCCACGCTTAGGGATATATTTCTGTCCTATGGGTGCTAGTTTTTTCACCTTTCTGCCAGAGTGTATATTTTCCAAGGACAAGAAGCGTGTCTAAATAAAACTGTAAAATCTTAAGTGGCAGCTGCACTGTTAGAGAATCTAGTGTAAGAATTTAATTAATGTTAAACATTTGTATGATGAATGGCTAAGTCAGGATAGGGTCTTATTCTAACATACAAATTTCCAAGAAGGTGATATTTCACCATTTCAAAGTTTTACATTCAGAGACTGTAAAATTACAGTAATACTTTGACTAGCAAGCATTTACTGAGGGTAGAGCCTGTTGGAGACACACAGGAGCTGGTACAAAAGAATCAAGATAGGGGCTTAACACAAGAGGTCCTTATAACTGGTTGGGAGAGCCATACATCCAAAAGTGACCTCAGGAACACATCAGTAAATGCAAAGCAAGAGTAATTGTGTGAAATTGAATGCTTAAGGGCCTAAGGGATACAAAGGGAAGATGAAATGTGAGCCACTTTCAACTAAGTTCTTACATGCAAAAGTATTTATAGTAAACACTAAGAGCTAAACAAGGAGCTCTGGTAGCATAGTGGTTACAAGTCGGGCTGCTAACCTCACGGTTCGAAACTACCAGCTGTTCTGCGGGAGAAAGATGAGGCTTTCTGCTCCCGTAAAGATTTATAGCCTTGGAAACCCTGTACAGGGTCGCTATGAGTCGGAACCGACTCCACGGCACATAACAACAAGAGCTAAATGCTAAAGTTCTAAATACTAAGAGCTGCCAGTGTCCATACCAGCCCACGGTATTCCCAAAGAGAATGCTGACCTAAGGGTCTGGAACTTTAACTCTTTAGAGCCCTCTGTTTGGCACACCAATCCAATGTTTACCTTCTGTTGCTATCTTCTTTAGTTTTGTGTCTAAAGGGCAACTTCCATCTCTCTCGGCCTCAGGCTAAACTTGGGGTCCAGGAGTTAAGGACAGAGCTGGCCCAGATTCCACCCAACCTCTGCTTGGCAATCCTTGAGCCCCTCAAAACGTTTCTTCCAGAGATGCAATCGGCCACGCCTGCTCTCCACGTGCCAGCCGCCTCAGTTCTTCCTCCAGCCTCGTACACCTGACCAACTCCTCTAGGCTCTCTCCTGTTACTATTAGCGAAATACCCCTACCTTTCTGAGTTGCAGCTTCCCCCCAATAATCTTTCCTTTCCTACCTTCCCCCAAGCCCTGGCTTAAGCAGCTCCTGCTCTGGTAGGGAACCCCTCATATTCACGTCACATTTTTCACTCCTGGTCACCCAGAGCGAAATAGGGACCTCTCGGGAGACAAAGCTTCTGGAGAACGGTTCGGTCTCCACCCACGACAAGAACACACTTACTTTTAGTTCGCCAAAGGCAAGGGCAATGTCTCCTCTACCAGACAGGAAATTTCCTGATGACGAGACTACCTTTTGCTCTTTTTTTTTCAAGCCCTAGTCCCACCCCTTTGACACAGTGTGGCTCTTAAATCACGGTTTCTTGTGCAAACTATCCCTGTAACTTTGAGTTTATGTGAGAAACAGAAACGTCCTTTAGCCAATTGAGCAACAAAGGGGTTAAATTTAAGCAACCTGATGGATTCTGGGGATTTCCTTCTTTTTCTTCATTAAATGAAACTCTGCCCAAGATAAAAATGAAAACCGTTAACTTCTATTTGGCTTCTGCCCACGCCCACAAAGGCCGCCATTACCTTAAACAAAATTAGCTGGCCCTAGTTTCCACTGTAGTCCTGGCGTGGTGCTGAAGAATAAACACTGGACTCCTAACCTCAAAGTTGGTGGTTCAAACCCACCATCCTCTTTACTTGGAAGGTGAGTGGGAACCGACTAGAAGGAACTTAACAAGTAGTTTCTGCCCGTTTCCAAAATGGCGCTCACAAGCTTCACTAAAGCACGCCCACTTCCCAGCACCCTCTCTGACTCGTAACGTCAAGTGACGCGAGACACAGCCGGAAGTGAAGGAAAAAGCGCCTCAGCCCGCGGCGCCTGCGCAGAAGACTCTAGACGCTGTGAGGCAGGAGGCACTTTAGATCGTCCGCAGAATTGGGACTGCTACAGAGGCCGCCACGGAGCCCGCCGGAGCCACCGTTCCTACTGCTGCTGCCGCTGCCCGAATCGGAACCATCGGGCCGCAGCCGCCGGCAATGCCACGACGGAAGGTGAGAGAAACGGGAGAGGAGGGATGGCGGGTTTCTAAGGCCACTTGATTGAGCAATGTGACGCAGTGAGCCACGCCTCACAGTGGTTGGGTTCCAACTTCCTGCTACCTGAATTTTAAGTTCAGCAGCCTTCTATTCTGTTCATACAGACAGAAAAATGTGGGCCCGACCCTGCCCTCGGCCTATGCTTGCAACTATTCCCGCCCTCTACTTAGCTGGATTGGAGGCGTTCTTACCGTTAATTGGTCACTGAAACGTCTAGAGGCATATTGATTGGCTGGTGACACCGCCTGTTTGGGCTCAACGGTCACCTCCCCGCGTGCGGGGGCGGTGCCTGGGCTGGGCACTACCGTGCTGCATCTGGCTGTAGCGAACGATCCTTCCTGTCTTCATTGGCTGAGCTTGGCAATCTGTCCCGTGGGGGCGCGGCTTAGCAGGACTTCTATTGGGAGGCACGAGTCTCCTCCCTTCCGGTGATGCTAATAAGTGTAAAGGCGCGTGGGGGGGGGGGGTTGGGAAGGACCCCCCCTTTTTTCCAGGTGGGCATAACAAAGATGATGACTGGGTTGTAGGGAACCAGGGCCCGCTCCCAAGGGACCCACTCAAGACTTGTTGAGACTGAGCCCTAATTTTTCCGTATTCGCTTTGTTGGGTACCACTTAGAAAATGAGTGCACTTTGTAAGATAAACTTTCTAGAATTGTTGTTAAGTGCCGTCGAGTACGGCGACCCTGTATGAAGTTTCCGAGGCTTTACATCTTTGCCGGAGCAGAAAGCCTCATTGTTCTCGCATGGAAAGAATGGTGGGCTTGAACCGCGGACTTCGTGGTTCGCACTCCAGTGCTTATTGTATGGAACCACCAAAGATTTAAAAGATCATTTAGGATCACTCCTCACCCCTACGTTTGACATCTGAGCAAATGAAACCCACTTTACAGTGGCAGAACCGGAAGTACACAACAAATGTCGTTCAACTGATGTTTATTAACTGCCTACTGTGTGTTGGTGTGGCGCTGTGGGTTAATGCGCCAGATTGCAAAGCCATTTGAACTGCAAAGTCAGAGGTTCAAGTTCACCGGTTCAAGTTCACCAGCTGCTCCTCGGAAACCCTATACAGGGTCGCTATGGGTCGGAACTGACTCGATGGCACTTAACAACATGACAACGACAATGTGCTGATTGACACTGTAGGCTAATGCGTCAGACTGCGAAGTCGATTGATCTGCAAAGTCGGTGGTTCAAGCTCACCAGCTGCTCCTTGGAAACCCTATACAGGGTCGCTATAGGTCGGAATTGACTCGATGGCACTTAACAATAACATGTGCTGGTTGCTGAGGATTCAAACATTTTTGGCATAAGGAAACCACAGTTTGGCTGTGAAAATAGACATATAAATAACTGTAAAAGGAACTAGTACATTCTCTGCTTACACATATATACAAAGTATGGTGGAAAGGAGGTGAGGGAGCAGTTAACTCTGGTTTGTAACAATATGGGGAGTAGATTGCCAGAGTTCAGGATCAAGTCAGGAAGGAGTGGTCAGAGATAACCAGAGACTCAAATCTTTGGGTAACTGACCTTGGTTGATTAAGACTCTGCCTTCATCTCATTGCTTTTCTGTGATTTTTCTCATGGCCTCCATTCATTTTTGGTCCAGTTACCTTTGGCATATTTAGAAAGCTGGGTGTTTATATCTTGCTAGTTTTGTATGCGTTCTCTTCTCAAGCCCACTGCAATCCCATCAGTTCCAGCTCCTAGCGATCCTATAGGACAGAGTTTCTGAGACCGTAATCTTTATGGGGGAGTCCTGGTGTGGCACTGTGGGATAATGCGCTGGACTGCAAGGTCCGCGGTTCAACTTTATTACCTGCTCGTTGTAATCCCTTACACTGGGTTACTTATGAGTCGGGAGCGACTTGAGGGCACTTAACAACCACAGTCTTTATAGGAGCATAGAGCATCATCTTTCTCCCAAGGAACAGCTGCTGGGTTTGAAAAGCGAACCTTTTGGTTTGCAGCCCAACACTTAACCTACTGTGCCAACAGAGCTTCTCCTTTTATCTTCTTCAAGGCATTTGAATAAATATTTACACTTTATAATGTCTTCTAAAATGACCAAAGTTGGTATGTGGTGTTTATGTTGTTGTGAAGTGCCGTCTAGTCGATTCTGACCCATAGCGACCCTGTATAGGGTTTCCAAGGAGCGACTGGTGAGCTTGAACCACTGACCTTATGATTCAAACAACTTTGCAGTCTGGCGCATTAACCTACAGCGCCACACCAGGACTCCTGATGTTTATGTTACGGCTCACCAAATGCAAGGATGCAGTATTAGTTCCTTTCTGCAGTTCCCAAGTACAAAGAGCAAGTTTTTTAGTCACTTACGTAATGACAAAGATTGTCTTAAACGGTCTTGAGGCAGTTTATCATTTTCATATACTTATTTAGTATGGTTATTTCTATATTTTGTTGCAGAAAGCTTAATGTATTTGGGATCTGTGCAAAAAGATTTTCCTTCCCAAAAATCTGCAAAAAGTATTTCCTTTCTGGCAATCAAAAAAATTATGAATTCCAAGGATTTTGAATAAAAGCTCCAGAACTTGTAGAAAGTTTGGTACTTTCTATTGTTTTGGTTTATTTTATTTATTTATTTTAGCAAATACACTTCCTGTTCTGCTGTAAGAAAGGGCTGTTGTTGTTAAGTGTCATCGAGTCGGTTCCAATTTACAGTGACTCTGTATAGGGTTTCCAAGGAGCAGCTGGTGGGTTTGGACCAACAAACCCACCTTGTGATTAGCAGTCCAGTGTTTATCCTGTAGCTCCACACCAGGACTCCCAAGTGTATGTAGTTACGTGCCTTCGAGTCAGTTCTGACTGATAGCGACCCTGTATAGGATTTCCACAGAGCAGCTGGTGAATTTGAACCTCTGATCTTGCAGTTCAAACTGACCTTGAGGTCCAGTGCATTATTCAGCAGTACCATACCAGGACTCCAAGAAAGGGTTGTTAAGTGACATTGAGTCGGTTCAGTCCCATAGAAACCCTGTATAGGGTTTCCAAGGAGCAGTAGTCTGGTGCATTAACCCATAGCACCGCACCAGGACTCCAAGAAAAGGCATGTTGTTGTTAGTGCCATTTAGTCAATTCTGACCCATAGCAACCATGTATAAGGTTTCTGAGGAGCGGCTGGTGAGCTTGAACCACCAACCTTGGGGTTCAGACCAACTTTGCAGCCCAGCTCATTAACCTACAGCACCTAAGAGTTATCTTTATGGTTCATTACTTTTGAGGAGGCTAGTAATTAACAAATTATTATTAATTGAGAAGAAGAGAAATCATGTTGTTTGAATACCTTCATTTGCAGGCTGCCTTTTTTTTTTTTTTAACACTTTGGCTATTCATCTGGAGAAACTTCCTGGGTAGATTACAGAGAATTTATATCCTTATCTTTCTCCCTAAGTTATCTTTAGATCAGATCTGTGACCATGCTGTTAAAATTAGTATATATTTTTTGTTGTTCTTTTTTTTTTTTTTTAATGTGATAGCAGTTCATTGAGACTAAACAAAAGCTACCCTAAAGTATAATGGGGCCTAGCATCCGCTTTTTCTCACTACTTGGACTTTTCTATAGGTGTGTGGGTATGTCAACGCCAGTATGTTTTCAGCTGGGTATTATTTCTAGTGGTACTAGTTTCCAGAGACTGGTTTCAGAATTAATGGTACTATAGTATTTGTCTCTTCATTTACTTAACTTTACTTAAATACTTGTACCTGGTACATTCCTTGTAGTTGGTTCTATATGAATGTTCTAAATAAAAGGAAATTGGCTCTGGGCTGGGCGGAGAATTGCTTGTGGAGTCTCTTCTTAGGTTTAAACTTGGTGTTTTCGGTATCATGGTGCATTTTATTTCCAGTGTTAATACAAACTCAGAGTAAATGCATCTGTGCTAATGTCTGTATCTATGGTGTTACAGAGGAATGCAGGCAGTAGTTCAGATGGAACGGAAGATTCCGATTTTTCTACAGATCTCGAGCACACAGACAGTTCAGAGAGCGATGGCACTTCCCGGCGGTCTGCTAGAGTCACCCGCTCCTCAGCCAGGCTGAGCCAGAGTTCTCAAGGTAAGAGACAGACTTCTTTCTTCCTTATCATTTTCTACAGCTCACTGACTGGGGAGTGCAATATTGTTCTGTTATGTGGAGTCTGGTCTCTTGGTTTGGTGCCAATAACAGAATCTGGTGAAATGCAGACCAGATAACTACAGGAGTGTCAGGTCTTATGCAAAAGGGGCATAGTGTTCTGAGAAAGAGTTACTGCCGTGCCCTGGACATCTGAAACAACTAGAAAATGTGTGAGCTCTGGGTGTCTTAAGGACAGTGGTTAAGGGCTTGGCTATTAACTGAAGCTTCAGTGATGGAAACCCACCCGCTGCTCTGCTGGACAAAGATGTGATAGTCTGTTTCCGTAAAGATTATAGCCTTGGAAGCCCTGTGAGGCAGTTCTACTCTGTCATAAGCATCACTGTGAGTCAGAATTGATGGCAACTAGTTTGTTTCTTTTGTTTTCTGGGTGTCTTTCTAGTTACTATACTTTATGACATGGGAGATGCTATTTAACCATGTAGCCCATGCAAAGTAGCCCTCTCTAATAAAAAACTTAGACTACACTGAATGGACACCTCACCCTCACCTGCTACCTGGAGGTGTGCAAACATAACCTTGCTGTGTGCTAACTTTTTTAACCCAAAGTTGAGTTTCTGTTGTTTTTTTTTTTAAACATCTATAAGATATATATAGACTCTTAGGATTTTGTTATCATGCTTAAAATTTGCTTTAATTTCAGCTTTGATTTCTTTATTCCGTTTTAAGCATCATCAGGTTGAAAATTAAAGACTGTTGAGGGTTTCAGAATAGATTTTGCAATCTAAAACAATTTAAAAAGTTATATTTTTCCTTTACCTATACTAGTATATGACTATTAAGATTTTCCTTGAACTTATCAAAGAGGGCAGTCAAGAAGAAAAAGTAAAAAAACAAGTCCTTTTTTGATTGATTACACTATTATTAGTAGAGCATCTGTTTTATGGTAGGTTGAGGTAAGGGAAGAAGAAGTGGACACAACTAATACTGATAATAACACAATATGTACCAGGGATGATGCTAAGTGCTTCAGATACATTGTCTTGCTGATTCCTCACTTAGGTCAAATATATTACTATGATTTTTTTGATCAGGAAACAGACTTAGAGAGATGAACTTCTGCAGGCTGCCACAGATAGCTCATGTGGTGGAGTGGAATTCAATCAAGTTCAGTCTTGATTCCAGATTATAATTTATTAATGCTGCATTGCAGTATATGTTGTCGTTGTTGTTAAGTGCTGTCAAGTTGGTTTGGCTCCTAGCAACCCTTTTATAGGGTTCCCAAGGAGTGGCTGGTGGGTTTGAGCCGTGCTAGCAGTCCAGTGCTTATTCTGTAGCACCACACCAGCACTCCACTATACTGCATAATAGCATCTCTATACCTGAACTAAGGCACTTTTGCTTGTATTTTATTGAACAAGATAGATATTTTAAGAGTTTGTTGGATTTTTTTAAATAGGAAGAGGAGTACCTACTTTCTCATAAATCATATAGTTGAGTAGTAAAAACAGTTTTTCTTCTTTTTTAAAAATTAATATTATCTTTTAAAATTGGCATCAGATTCCAGTCCGGTTCGAAATTTGCAGTCTTTTGGCAATGAGGAGCCTGCCTATTCTACCAGGAGAGTGACCCGTAGTCAGCAGCAGCCTACCCCAGTGACTCCAAAAAAATACCCCCTTCGGCAGACTCGTTCGTCTGGCTCAGAAACTGAGCAAGTGGTTGATTTTTCCGATAGAGGTGAGTGGGTATGGTATGCTTTGTGTACATTACAAAGGATGTAGTTGATATCTTTTTAAGGAGGACCTGGGGTCACTGCCTAATGTTGCCAGGATTTCAAGTCAACTAGGTGAATGTGGTTTGTCTATTATTGCTGAGGACAGTTTGGTACTGAAGTTTTTGTTTTTGTTTTTTTGTGGACGCTCGTCTAAATATACTGGAATATTCTTGAAGTCCAGAATGGCTGGGGTATTATAATAGTTTGGACCTATAATAGGAAGAAGACACTGGGGCCCTCACAGCCACAAACGAAGAAGACTTGAACTAAGTTTTGTTTAGCCATGCTTGCCAATCCGTTTATCTCTGAATTTCTGAGCAATAGAGACCTTCAGTAATGGGGATAGACATTTCAGATAAAACTCAGAGGATTTTTTGGTTTTGTTTTTTTAAGGAATGGTATTAATTGACTGGATCTTAGTAGTATCGTCTCCCTTAGGCGGATAAGGAGCAGTCCTTAGGCCATAGTTCTTCTTTTCTATGTGTTACTAGTTTCCCAGCCCCTGTGTGCTGGTGGTGGTGGCTGTGTGCCCTGGAGTCGGTTCCGACTCACAGCGATCCTGTACAGGGTTTCCGAGGCTTTAAATCTTTGTGGGAGCAGAAAGCCTCATCTTTCTCCTGAGGAACAGCTGGTAGTTTTGAACTACTGACCTTAAGGTTCGCAGCCCGACTCGTAACCACTATGCTACCAGAGCTCCTTTCCAGCCCCTGTAGACATTGGATTTTTCGATCTTTGTTGTTACTGTTGTTAGGTGCCATTGAGTTGGTACTGACTCATAGCGACCCTGTGCACAACAGAGCTGGATCCTGGGCCAACCTCACAATTGTTGCCACACTTAGAGTCATTGAATTGTTAGATTACCAGTGTGCTGAGTCCAAACCCTGCTCACACTCTCCCACCAAGGCTCTTAAGTGTTATCTAAGTGACAAACATCTTCATTTTCTTTTATCCTATGTATGTCCTAGAAGGACAGTAGAGTGGTAATTTAGAAAATGATTTCCATAATGTTTTGTTTATCCCAGATTAGGAAGCTATAGAGTTATGCAAAATGTGCAGTGAAACCTCTAAGAACTGGAATTCCATGGCACTACTTTGTTTTTCTGTCTCAGAAGTTTTCTGCCTTCGTTTGGGTGCTGTCTTACCACTTTTCTATCACTTACATAGTGGAAGATATCATAGTTTTCTTTCTCTGAAACAATTCTGCCTTACACAGTGTCCAGCTTTTGCTGGCTTTACTGTATTTAAATCAAATTCTACCGCAGCTAAGTAGCTAAAAGTTACTGGTTAAGTCATAAAAATAGCATCTAGGAAACCCATAAATAAACTCTTCTGAATAATAAACTGTTAAGTTCATGCATACTCTTCACAAGTTTTACCAATTGTTTTTGCTTTAGAAACTAAAAATACAGCAGATCATGATGAATCTCCACCTCGAACTCCAACTGGAAATGCACCTTCTTCTGAGTCTGACATAGACATCTCCAGCCCCAATGTGTCTCATGATGAGAGCATTGCCAAGGACATATCTCTGAAGGACTCAGGCAGCGATCTCTCTCATCGCCCCAAGCGCCGGCGTTTCCATGAAAGCTACAATTTCAATATGAAGTGTCCTACACCTGGCTGTAACTCTCTAGGTTAGTGTGCCCCAGCTTCGTGCCTCCTTACGTTTTGTGCTGCTCTCTCCGTCTCTAATTGAGATCACTACAAGTGTTTTGTGTTTTCTTGGGATCTAGATTATTGTTTTCTTTTTTAAACAACGGATCCACAATTTAATTTTTTTCCCAACTAGTTTAAATCCTTTGAGGGATACAGTGTCACACAGATTCTGTGTCCAATGGCCTTAGCAAAAAGGTTGCTTTGTAATTTGGTGTGAACCATGCCACTGCTTCCATGCGTGTGAATTACCTTTCCATAGATGATTCTAGTTTTGTTAGGTTTGCTGCTAGGGTCACTATGGTGGTCGTCTTTGCTTTGTATACACATAAGCACATCTGTCTAAATGGAATTAAGTTTCATTTTGGCCATAAACACTTTCATTTGAGGAAGCGCTGTGTTCTGAAAGTTCTATTTGTAACCAACAAAAACCGCCTTGGACTGCAGTCTTTCAGACATAGTCTCTGTTTTAGGAGTCCTGTTTCCATCAGCCCTACATAGGCTTCTAAGATGGCAGAAAGATCTAGTTTCTTAGACTCTTAGTGGGTGGTGCCAGGCTCACAGTAACAGTGCATTGCCCACTTGAATTAAAGTACTTCTGCTTCTTGGCCTATTGTCTATAATAGCTCTTTGTTGAACTTGTTGTAAGAAAATTAACTATGATGAACTATTTGACTTACTGAGAGATTTTCCTAGTGAAAAAGGCCTGCCTTTTCTCCGCAGGAATAATTGAAGATCAGTTATCTCCAAATATCTCATTGTATGGCAGATAATACAAAGTAGTGGAGTATAATCTAGTCCAGAATTATATTTGCATAACCATAGCTGGTAAGAGAAATGAGGAAAAGAGATTTCTTGTCAAGAGGCTATGAAATTACAGTGTCACTAAATTTTACTTGTAGAAATGGTATATGTTCCATTGTGTGTATTTGCAACAGCAATAAGAAGGAAAAAAGGTGTAGAAATTGATAGAGTACAGATGAGAGACGAACTTCAGTACCTTTAGGTCTTGTAAACTTACACTTAATCAGTATAAACAAGATAAAATATCTCTTCTCTTATATTAAGTGAGAATTAATGAATTGTCTAGGAATTTTTGTAAAGGTTTGAAACATAGCCTGTGCTCCATGGGAGAACTCATGTGGCAGATTCTTCTAGAGTTGGAAGATGAGGGGTTTTTACTAGGTCTGCTTTTCAAATTCAGCCTTTGAATGTGGCCATCAAGTCCAGAAACAGGTTGAACAGAGCAGTCTATGGGACCAGTATTACAGATAGAAGGAAGGGCAAGTACAAAGGGTCTGAGGCAAGAGAATGATTAACAAGTTTGAGAAACAGTAGGGGGCCAGTGTGCTTGGGGCAGTGACCAGAGTAAAGAGGAAGAAATGAGGTCAGAGTGGATGCCTGTGTATGTGGTACTAATTCCCAGAGCTGTCTCCGCTGTGGACTAATGCGTCAGACTGCAAAGTCATTTGAACCACAAGGTTTGGTGGTTCAAGCTCACCAGACACTCCTTGGAAACCCTATACAGGGTCGCTATGGGTTGGAACCGACTCGACGGCACTTAACAACAACAACCTCCTTGGTTGGGTAGACTGGAGGGTAAATAGAAATCTGTTGCATCAGAGGGAAGTTTACTTTGACTTTTGATTTGAATGTGTTGTCAAAATTTGAAAAGTAGGAACCTGAGCTTTCCAGTTTTGTTCTTGGTCCTGTCTCATTCATTAGCTTAGGCAACAGAATGTCATTAATTTAAAAAAAAAAAAAAGGTATAAAAGTAGTATATACTCAGGAAAATAATTTACTCAAAGGTTTTGAATATATAATAACTTAAAAGTAGGGCTTGAAGATCAGTTATCTCCAAATATCTCATTGTATGGAGTATAAGCTAGTCCAGAATCTGCCACATGAGCTCTCCCATGGAGCACAGGTTATGTTTCAAACCTTTACAAAAATTCCTAGACAATTCATTAATTCTCACTTAATTGAGAAGAAATTAACAATGACACTTTATATTTTATTTTTAAAGCTTACTTTGTGAATGCTTACGTTGTGTACATTTTAAATACCAGCATCTACCTCAAATTAAGTGTCTTCTTTCCTTGAAAGAAAGGGAAAGCCTTTGTAGATTTGCCATTCAGCTTCGCTATTTTGCTTATTGTCTTACTATCCCTCTCAATCTTAGATGTTTTATAAACCCCTTGGTTGAAGAGATATAGAAAAAGCAAATAATGTTCACCAACCTGTGTAATTAACAAAAACTTTCATAAAGAGAAAATTGAAACAATACTCCTTTTCTAAAATGAGCTCTGCTACATTGCTGCTCCTGGCACCGCTAACTGGGTGGTGCAGATGGCTAACTGCTAGTGTGTGAACACACCAAAGAGGCACCTTGGAAGACTTAGCTGGTGATGTGTTTCTGAAAGGTCATAGCTTTGATAACCTTATATAGGACAAATTTCACCGTGAGTCAGCATCTACTCAGACAGTGAACAACATTGTTATTCCTAATATTTTCCCACCTTAAGAGGGTCTTATGCTATTGCCTTGTCTAAAAATTTAATAATAAAAAGTCCCCCTTCTAAAAAGGAGGGTATATTTAATCTGGTTCGAAATTATTAAAATACTTTTATGGTTGTCGTTAAGTGCTGTTGAGTCAGTTTCAACTCATAGTGACCTTGTATAGGGTTTCTGAGGAGCAACTGGTGAGTTTGAACTGATGATCTTGTGGTTCGCAGTCCAGTGCTGATCCTATAGCACCACACCAGGAATCCTACTTTTATGGTAGAAAAGCCTATTTTCTTCCAGAAGTTTCCTTTGATCATCGAAAGGTGTTACATTCAAATTGGAAAGCATTGCATAGTAGAAAGAAAAGTACACCTGTTTGCATATATGACTCGATTCACAATTTAGCATGCTGTAGTTAAGAGCTGTCTAGTTGGTTCTAACTCATCAATTCTATAGGGTTTTCAAGGAGTTGCTGGTGGGTTTGAACTGTCAACCTTATGGTTCACCATCCAGTGCTGATCATACAGTGTCACACCAGGAGTCCAGTTTAACACAGCAGAGTATAATTCAAACAAAAGAAAATGTTCCTGCTTATAATTTTGTGCAGCCAATGATACATGTACAGCTTTACAACATTTTAGCATTTGAGAACTACATCATCAGTACACCGGAACATAACTTTTTAAAACATACACAAGCACATTTCAAAATTGCTAGATCTAGCCTGTGGAAGAAAAGAATTTATAGTATGTGCAAGTTACAGCCTAAGCAGCACTTGACTTTGGTGTAGTCAGTCTGTGATCAGATAGATATTTGATAAAAATCATAGGGGAAAAAACCCAACAAGTTTGTTGTAGAGAAACCTACTCTTTTCTCAAGTATTTCCTCTTGTATTTTGAGATTATTTTTTTCCTCCTCTGACAGGACACCTTACAGGAAAGCATGAGAGACATTTCTCCATCTCAGGATGCCCGCTCTATCATAACCTCTCAGCTGATGAATGCAAGGTAACTGCAGTCTCCTCATTTACTCAACACATGCTTATCGAGTGCTGCTTACCATGTGCCAGGCACTTTGCTAAACACTGGGGATACAGTGGTCAATAAGATGGGCAAGCTCTGTACTCTTAGATTCTAGTGAAAGAAACAATAAAATGAAATTTTTAAAAAAACAATTAAACAATTGGAATGTATAATGAGTGCTTTGAAAGGAAGGAATTAACAAGGAGATTTCCCATAGAAATTCAGAATATTAGCCTCTAATGCACTGATGCTTTTCCATTGAAAATTGCCTTCAGTATGTGATCTCAGTATTTATGCACTGAGTTCTCTCATCTTCTAAATTTATGAGATCATTTTGTCATTTAGAATTTTTCCTGAATCCTTTTCCTAATTTTCTGTTCATTTCTGTTGAGTACTTTTCCCTTTTATTTTCAGTCACACCTAATCTTGGCTAATTCTTCTTTTAATTCCTAAAAATATTGCTCCTAAATTGTCTTTGGGTTTTTGGGACAAAGTAGTTAGGATTAGAGCCCAACACCTTATATGTTGGTGCCCCAATCAAGGATGGAGCCAAAGAACAATTATAGAGAAGTTGTTGTTGCTGTTATGTGCCGTGGAGTCGGTTCCGACTCATAGCGACCCTGTACAGGGTTTCCGAGGCTGTAAATCTTTACGGGAGCAGAACCGTGTCATCTTTCTCCCACGGAACAGCTGGTAGTTTCGAACTGCTTACCTTGTGGTTCACAGCCCAATTCGTAATCGTTACGCTACCAGGGCTCCTTTATAGAGAAGTAGGAGTTGAAAATTAATTAAATAGGTTGCCCAGTTAGTATTTGGGTAGATTATCAGCTTTAATTTTGGTTTTGTTGTTATATTGGTAGTGAGATCAGAGTCACAGGTTTATATCTGTGGGAACCAGTTCCATTCTGAGACATATTAGATTCTCTGGTTAACATTAGGGTCCTGGTGAGGCAGTGTAGGATAAGGACTAACCTCAAGGTTGGCAATTCAAACCCATCAACCACTCCTCAGAAATCCCATACAAGGTCTCTGTGAATCAGAACCAACTGCATAGTACTTAGCAACATTAAGGTGGCCGGCGCCACGATGGTTTCAGCTGCTAACTGAAAGTTCAGCCTTTCAAATCCACTAGTGGAGTGGCTCCATATTAGAAAACACCTGCTTTTGTAAAAATTGCAGTCTAGGAAACTCCCTGTCCTATAGGGTGGAAATTAAGTCGGGGGCTCAACCAGTAATCACAGTTAGGTTGATTCTTCCTCATTCAAGAAGTTGCTGTCTTGTTTATAAGTATATATATCACAGGGGTGGGACTTGCTTTGTTATGTTTGGTCTTCAACAAAGGTAGGATGCTTTCAGTGCTAATGTAGATTTTAAGCTCAGGAACCTTTAATTCTTATTTTTCTTCATTCCAAATCTTTTGAATAAGCAAGACAGGAACTTCTTTATATAAGGCTTAAGTTGTGGGTCTACTCATTACCTATACATTTTGAGACTAGGCCAAAACAGGAAGACCTGTCAACCTCTGCATCATATCAAGCATTAGGTACTTTTCTCTGCAAATAACTATAATCCTTGTTTTTGAGAGTTGTCCTCTGCCACTTGTCTTTAAATACAAAGATCTGATACTATAGATGGTTTTACATATAAAAATCTTCCTGAGGTATAATTTTGAAGAAGTGTTCGCTTTAGCAATATGAACATATTGCCTAGAGGAATTTATTTAAAATAAACATTTTTTGAAAGAAGGGAAGCATTTGTATCCTGAATGTTTCCTCTTTTTTTTCCCTTCTTGTTTACAAAGAGAACCAGGCTTCAGTATAAGTTATCTTGACTACTGCAGCAGGTACTTTGAGGATCAGGACAATTTACGAAAGATGATATATATTTTTATTAAAATTGAGAACTCCCCCCAATAGAATGATCAGACAAGTCCCTGTTTCATAGAGCTTGAAAAAGTACTTGCACATATACATGATTACTGAGTTTCTCAGATAAGCTTGGAGATTGGTGATATTATCATTTTTATTCAGTCGTGTGTTTCTGTTCAAACACTACTAATAGTTATCCCAGGATTTGGTGAGTAAGATAAAAAGGACCTTACATTATTGTCGGGGAAGCTAAACGTATAAACAGATACACTGAGTCAGAATTTCATATGGTGGTAAATGCTAGGAGGAGCCAAAAGGCCCAAGGTGTAGAGAGTGCTGTCTGGAGGGGGCAGCACTGCTTCTGTTAAGGTGGCCAAGGAAGACCTTGAGGAAGTGGCATTGGATCTGGGACATGGATAAAGGTTAAAGACAGTGTGTAAATGTCGAGGGGAAGAGAGAAGGAACAGCACATGCAGAGGTCCTGAGTGATTATAGAGGACCTTGTAAACCTGGTTTTTCTTTTTCTCCAAACCTTGGGAAGCATTTGGAAGGACTTTATTAGAGGTGTGATACAATTTCATAAACACTTCTTAAAAAATCACTGCTTGCTAGTATGTGGAGAATGGACAGTAGGGACAAGAGTTGACACCAGGGAGACTACTTAGAAGGCTACTCAGAAGTTCAGGGATAGATGGTTCAGACTTGGACTACGGTTGAAGAATTGGTTGGATTTAGAGTCCTGGTATAGTAGGATAAGCATTGGATTGCTATCTGCAAGGTCAGCAGTTCAAACACACGGATTGCTCCTTGGAAACCCTATACAGGGTTGCTATGAGTCGGAATTGACTTGACAGCACTCAACAAGAGCAATTTTATAGGAGAAGCAGCCTACTAGACTCACTGATGGATTTGATGTGAGGTGTGAGGCAGAGAGAAGACTCAGGGACAACATTCAAGTGGTTGGCCTGATTGACCGTATAGAAGTGTTACTGGTGATGAGAGGGAAGGTTTTTGATACCAAGCAGATTTTGGGGAATGTCAGTTCTGTTTTGACCACACAGAGTTTAGTGGAGAAGTTGGCTAGGCAGTTGTCTATATGAGTCCTTACTTCTAGATGATGGAATTGGAACTTTTGGAGAGCTGATGTGATTTGTCTAAGATGTACAGAATTGGTGTCTGTGTGGACTTGAGCCTAGGTTTTCTAACCTTTCTTTTGTACTTCTTCACTCTGTTCCTGAATTTCCTCACACTGTTGTTAATCCAGTGTACAGTGGAAAGAGTCCAGGCTCCAAGTTATATCTTAGTACTGTCTGGCTGTAGTAATTTCACTTCTCTGTTTCTAAGTTAATGGTAGAGAAAACAGAGAGTGTAAAACTTGCCTTACTTTTTCATATAGAGATTGTGATAATAAATGTGAAAGCCCTTTGAAAATTTAAGTACAACATAAATTCAAGGGATCCTAGTGTTCTTATGCTTTAAATAAATGTAGTCTTAGAGGCAGGTGGATTTATTGACGTTGTTAATGGTTGCAGGTGAGAGCACAGAGCCGGGATAAGCAGATAGAAGAAAGGATGCTGTCCCACAGGCAAGATGACAACAACAGGCATGCAACCAGGCACCAGGTATGGGCCTTGCCAAAGCTCTGGCCATTCAGTTTGGGATCCATATCTTTGCAAAGGCCCCATAATGATCTATAGACGTATCCATGCCTATCTATAGTTTCCTCTAGTACGTCTAAATAACTAATGTTTCAGTTATAGACTTAGAATCATGTTTGCTTTTCTGAGGATAAAGTTTTAGAAAACAAACACTCCTCTACTTCATAAATGAAGGAATTATGCTACCAAACTGCAAAGTCATTTGGACTATTAGGAATAATAATGTAATCCTGATTATACTTGGTGCTCATGTTCTCATTTTGCTTCCGTCTTTTAGTTTGCTTCCCATTTAGTGTGACCTTTAGACCTTCCCCTGTGTTGGCATGCTTCCAGGCTTATCAGTGATTTCTTAGCATTTGTCACTTGTTAGCTATGCATTTCTCTTCTTTAATCTTCCTTGGTTTTCAGGGTGCTCCTCTGTCATCCTCCCTGTGCCTCTGAACATTGTTGTGTTGGGTGCACTTAATTCTTTGTTTCTTCCTAAATAACTTTTGTCTTTACTCTTGCTGTCTGTCTGCTTAGAACTCTCTATACCAAAAGAAGGGATTGTATTGATCCTTGTTCAAGGCATTGTGCAACTCTCTACTGTTCTAGAAATTCTTTCCAAATCTTTTCCCAGCGTTAATGAATTTCTTACTCATATAGTCCCACTGTAATTTACTGAAGATATGTTAGTTTAGCCCTTGTCCATTATACTACACAGAGCTCATTATATGGATGTCTGCTGTGGTCTGAGATGGGTGGGTAGCAGAGGAAGCATTGTCATAAAAGAGAAGTGTGGGTTTTGGAGCCAAACACATCTGGATTTGAATACAGTGATTCTATTTCTCTAATATGTGGTTTGGGGGCAGATCAGCTAACCTCTAACCTTTATTTCCTTGTTAATAAAATGAGGTTAATAAGACCAACCTGGCAAGGTAGTTCAGGGTGTCAGCAAAATTCAATCTATAAAGTACGTATCCCCAGTGCTTGGCAGTAATAAGTACTCCATAAGTAGTCACTGTACTGCTTATCATTATTGTGGCTTCTAATTCATTTTCCTTTTTTTCATTTTGTATCATTGCTGATCAAGTTAGTACTTTGTGAAAAAAAGTAACAAGTGATTGGTTATTGAATTGAAATGATTATAATTTTATTCTTGTTGCTCTGATGAAAATGCCCATCCTTAATTTATGTTCTGTTTGGGTTAATATCAAAGTAAATTTGTTTTCTTGAATCCATTGTAGCTGATAGTAGCATAGTGGTCTGCATAATGAGGGAATGGTCATAGCATGCACAGGGTGGCTCTAATTTCATTTCTCTCCACCACCCCCCAACCCCCCTCACCTTTTTTCAAAGCATGTATGTACATGCACACCTTCATTTTGAAGCTTGACTTCATATTCAGTTATCTAGCTTTCTTTTTAGGCACCAACAGAGAGGCAGCTACGATATAAGGAAAAGGTGGCCGAACTCAGGAAGAAAAGAAATTCTGGGCTGAGCAAAGAACAGAAAGAGAAATATATGGTGAGTGAAAGTAAAGTATTTCATTAGCGTGAACTCACAAAGATGTTCTCACATTTGATCACTTTGATTTCTAAACTTCTGCTTTTCAGATTTGTCATTTGGTAACTTCCAGGGGTGGCTGTTAGCATCAATAATTCCTCAAAGCTGGGCTGTTGAGAGTGGAAATAGGAAGTCTTTGAAAAACTGCAATTAATTTGGATTAGAAAATTTGGATCCTTTAGTTATTTGTAAGCTTCACTATAATTATATTTAAAGGGTTGACTTTTCCTATTAGAACAAACACCCTTGACAGTGGACATTTCTGCATAAGGAAACCTTCAGACCAAGAAGTAATCTACTTATGCTAATGGGGAAAGAACTCCCACATGATGAGGATAGGAATTAGGTTAATATTCTTGAATAGATATTGGGGGAGGCGGGCAGTATTTAACATAACGTGTCTGGTTGTACAAATAATGTATGTTTGTAGTAGAAAATAACAACTTTTTAAAGTATACAGAAAAAAGTGCTGTGGGCTAATGCTTCAGACTGCAAAGTCATTTGAACTGCAAGGTCGGTGGTTCAAGCTCACCAGCTGCTCCTTGGAAACCCTCTGTAGAGTCACTGTGGGTTGGGATTGACTCAAGGGCACTTAACAATAACAACAACAACTCTGTAAAAGTAACATTTTAGCAGATATTCCTCTAGCTTTTTCTACATACCTAAATACCTTATTTACCTACTAAGAATCTATATTAATACAAATTTTCTGAAGTCCCCTTGTACAAATTTGGATTCTATCTTTTCACCTAAATTCTTTGAAAATGTTTTACATAAAATGTAATTTCTTAGCTGGAGATTAATTTTATCATAAATATTTTTGTAAGCATGCTTACTACTGACGGTAGCAAAATTGTTGTTTTCCCAATCTTTTCTGATGTTTTTCGCCTCTCCATAAAATTTGAATATTCATTTATTTAGTTATTAAAATATATTATTAAATGTATGGTTTGTGAATACTTAAAAGATACTCAGAGCTTCTCATCACTAAGATGAAAATATGTCCAACTATGTATTTACTTTCTTGACGTTGTCTTGAGAATGGTACTCCTCTTTATGGGAGCCTTTTAGATAGATAGGTGAATGTGAGATGACTGTTAAAGGTTTGGGGGTTGAATTTGTAACTAAATCACCTACACCAGATTGTGTTGATTATTGTGGATGGACTGTATTGGAGTTGTGAGGTATAGGTACAGGGTTGTGTGATTGCCCTGTTCTGTTTGTGAGTTTTTTATTCACAAATTGGGTGGTGGTGTTTATGTTTTGTACCTTCAAGACTTATAGCAACAATGTAAAGGCTTTCCAAGGAGTTTGTGGGTTTGAACTGGTGCACCAACCTTATGATTAGTAGTCCAGAGCTTAGCCTATAGCTTCACAACAGGACTCCACAAATTGTGTGGAGTGTAATAATCACAACAATAACCACTGGTTGGATTCTCCTTAGCTTCACCCTGGTTTTGGTAGGCTAAGAATGCTCTCACCCTCCCTAGCAGCTCTATATACTGGAAGCTCTTTTACCTGTGTTTTAGGAAGGAAAATGAGAAAGAAGTAACTTGCCAAAAATCTTAAATTTTTATCTGAAATGAAAACCCCTGAAATTTTTATCTTACTCACATCTCCTTCCCACTCTTCCTAGTAAAAACAATGAAAACTTCTGCATTAGATTTTTAAAAATGCTTTTCTTTTTAAAACTTTATGAAACTAGAACTAATAATTAATACTTGAGAACCTAAATCTTAAATGATAGAGGCCAAATTTAATAAGATAATGCCCAGCCAGGACCCACATTAACTGGAAGACATTTTAATACGGTTGTTGTTGTGAAGTGCCTTTGACTCGGTTCTGAGCCATAGTGACCCTGTAAAGGGTTTCCTAAGGGTAGCTGGTGAGCTTGAACTGCTGACATTGTAGTCAAACGGCTTTGCAGTCTGGTGCATTAACCCACAGCGTCATACCAGGACTCCTTTAATAGGGTAGGGGTATTAGTATTGATCTCTGTGAGTCGGAACCAACTTGTTGTTAGGTGCCATTGAGTTGGTGCCGACTCAGCAACATTATACACAGCAGAACAAAACACTGCCGTATCCTAGGCCAAAGGAGCTCTGGTAGCGTAGTGGTTACGAATCAGGCTGCGAACCTCATGGTCAGCAGTTTGAAACTACCAGCTGTTCCGCTGGAGAAAGATGAGGCTTTCTGCTCCTGTAAAGATTTATAGCCTCGGAAACCCTGTACAGGGTCGCTATGGATCGGAACTGACTCGATGGCATACAACAACAGCAACATCCTGGGCCAACCTCATTATCTTTACCACACTTGAGTCCATTGATGCTGCCTCTTGGCCAGTCCATCTCGCTGGGGGTCTTCCTCTTTTTCTCTGACCCTCTACCTTACTAAACATGATATCCCTCCTAACAATACGTCCAAAGTATAAAGTTTGGCCATCTTGTCCTCCAAGAAGCATTCTGGCTGCACTTCTTCCAACACAGATCTGTTGGTTCTATGGGCAGCCCATGGCACTTTCAATATTCCCTCCAACACCATAAATCAAAAGCATCCATTCTTCTATGGTCTTCCTTATTTACTATCCAACTTTCACATGTATATGAGGTTATTGAAAATGCCATGGCTTGGGTCAGGCGCACCTTAGTCCTCAAGCATGACATTTTGCTCTTCAACACTTTAAAAAGGTCTTGTGCAGCATATTTGCCTAATGCAATGTATCATTTGATTTCTTGACTGCTGCTTCCAGGAGTGTTGATAATTGATCCAAGAAGAATGAAGTCCTTGACAACTTCAATCTTTTCTCCATTGATAAGAACGTTGTTTTTGGTCCAGTGGTGAAGATTTTTTCTTCACATTGAGATACAGTCCATACCTAGGGCTTTACTCTGATCTTCATCAGTAAATGTTTTAAGTCTCTCTTAACTTCAGCAAGCAAAGTTGTATCATTTGCATATCGCAGTTTGTTAACGAGTCTTCCTCCAATCCTGGTGCCACGTTTTTTTCTTCATATAATGCAGCTTTTTGGATTATTTGCTCACCAACTAGAGGACAGTTAACAACAATAGCAGCAATAGTGCTGGTGAATGGCTTCTTCATATGCTAATATGTGTGAAATCCATAATGTTCTTCCTGGGATGAGCCATCCACTGTACTTAAGGACCATTAATTAGCTTCTATTCTTTGGATGGGAGGTGGAGTATAGAACAGAGTGGGAAGGGCTAGAATCAAAGATTTAAAAGGTACCTTTCACTTTCAGAAATTCTTTCTGGAGCAAGGGTATTTGGCTGCCATGGTAAGTTTTGAAGTGTTTAAATGTGGGTTATTTTGGTTCAAGGTTGTTTGCTTTATTCTGAATTAGGTGAAGATTAAAACTGGGTTGTTTCATCTCAGGACCCTTTCCTCCTCCTCTTTAATGTTTAGTGAAATGATGTTCAAGGAGACTAGCTCATTTTTCTTTTGCACATGAAGTAAAGATTGAAAGTTGGGATCATTACACCTCTGGTGGACAGTGCAGCAATTCAAGTGAGAGAATTCACTGAGGACTGACTGCCTTAGGCCAGCTGTTCTCCCAATCGGGAGATTTTCTTTTCAGTCTAAAATCTTAGATTCTAAGGCTTAGAGGTTTTGCATTTTTTAAATTAAAGCCTATCTTCCAAGGTTCCTCCGGAGTTCAGGATTCTAAGACTATGGAGTGCCTCTGGGTTTATTGTTTGACGATAAGAAATGGAGGCTTAGAGTGCTGGGCCTTGGGTGCTCATTTAGAAAGACGGAAGTCCTTTGAGGAAGTGTGGGGGCATTTCCACTTCAGGTTCACTGGGGTGGGTAGTGGTCACTAATACCTGTTAGGCCTGGCATGTAGCAGTAAATACGTAGTATCAGATCATGCTCAGCCTTCTAGTCGGCAAGAAAAGTTCTTAGCAGCAGAGTCTTCATGCTCTGGTTACCTTCGTAGGAACACAGACAGACCTATGGGAACACTCGGGAGCCTCTCTTGGAAAACCTGACTAGCGAGTATGACTTGGATCTCTTCCGGAGAGCACAAGCCCGGGCTTCAGAGGATTTGGTGAGTATTAAACCGCCAAGCTGAGGACCACTTGTGAAAGACACTTAGACTGCCAAGGAAAATGATTAGGAATCAATTTGCAGGGAATTAAACACCTTGCAGCTTGAATGTCCCCTCCCCTCCCCCCAGCAGTCCATTGTTAGGCTGTCCTTCCCTTTCATATTTAAAGCTAATCACCCTCTTCCCTTCTGGTCTTTTACGGGTTTTTTCCCTCCCCTCAACTCTAACTCCAGGAAGGACCTGTTTGCTGTGGTGAGACTAAAAAAGCACTAGGTGCCCCTTTGTCTCTGGTGGGTGATTTGCAATTCTGAGAGTCTGTAAACTGAGAGATACCCACCTCGGTGGTCCTCTTAATCCTAACAGGAATTTGCTGCTTTCTGTGTTTCCTCACAGCTCTTCAATATGTTTAACAATTTTATATGTAAAGGTAGTTTTCTGTTCTATTATGAGTTTTGATGCTTTAGGCAGACAGTTTTAGCAGCTGTTTTTTGTTTAAAAAAAACACTCAGGAATATATAACAATTTACACCACCAAAGGACACATTCTGCAAGCCTGCCTCCTGGCCACCACAGCTCTCAGTCCCCCTCTTCCCATGAATCTAGAGTCCTCAGCTGCTCCCTCTCTCCATGGCCCCATCTCTGCCTGCATCTCTGGTATCTGCTGCTTCTCTGAGTAGGGTCCCGCATTCTGCTTATGCTCTTCTCCCTTGATGGTCCTAGGGTCCTCTGTTTCTGGACTAGCAGCTTTGCTTTAAGAAAATTCTGGTGATTTCAGTTTACCTTTGATTTAACAGGTTAAATGTTTTCAATGAAACTTAGTTTGTAAGGTGCTATCTTATCTCTCTCTTTTATTATATTAAATACTTCATTAAATTCTGCAAATGCACCTGAAAACTTGCAGGAGGAAGGATTGACTGATGCCACACAGCAAAAGACTGCTGCTGCTGCTGGTTGTCTTGGTCCTTGTCTGGTACAATATTTCCAGGGGTAGCCTTTCACAGTTCTCCACCTGGTGATGATTAAAAATACTTTCTATAACAAGCGCCTAGCCACCGAGTGGAGATAGAGAGCCAAAGTGCTTTCTACTCCCATAGAGTTTCCATTCCAGAATTATCAGCAGCAGCATTTCAAAATACAACTTTTAAAAGACTCAAGTGGGTAAAGTTTGTTTCATTTTAGAAGATCTTTTATGTTTAGTTTTAGAATGTTTTATAGGGTGTAAGTTTGTGTTTATGGAACATTACATTTGTAATTCATTTGGTTGAGGCTCATAAAAAGGAGGTTTTACCAAGGACTTCACTCCATTGTTGAAGGAGCTCTGGTGGTGCTGTAAATAATGGTCTGCTAATTGTAGGGTTGGCAGTTCAAACCCACCAGCTATTCCTTGTGAGAAATGAGGCTTTTTGCTCCTGTAAATATTTACAGACTTGGAAACCCTAATCAGACAGGGTCGGAATGAGTCCAAATTGACTCAGTGGCAGTGGTTTTTTGTTTTTATTCTGATGGTAGAGATAAAAGGCCCAGAATGTGATAGGATGCAATGAAGCCACTGTGTAAGCCTACGTGATTATCTCTGGCCCCGTTTTTAGTGCATATTTCTCATCTGGAGATGACAAATCTGGTGTTTTCCTAGCCTAGCACACACACACACACACAAATATGATAAATTCTAATTCTTCTCTAACTTTTGGTTTCCTTTTGGGTATAGGAAAAGTTACGGCTTCAAGGCCAAATCACAGAGGGAAGCAACATGATTAAAACAATTGCTTTTGGCCGCTATGAACTTGACACTTGGTACCATTCTCCCTATCCCGAAGAATATGCACGACTGGGACGCCTCTACATGTGTGAATTCTGTTTAAAATATATGAAGAGCCAAACAATTCTCCGCCGACATATGGTAAGTTAGTTGTGTGTTTCTCTGCAGTGAGCCTGGTGGTGAAGGCGAAAGGAGCTCCAGGCATGCTCTGGAGTGGACCTTTCACAGGCAAGTAATGCGACAAAGACAAAGAAACTTGAAAGCCTTAGGTTCAGTGGGGTGCTGGTGCTAGCCCTTTGTCACATTCTGTTATCTGTTTTGTTTTAGATTTTTTTGCTCCTTACTTTCAGATTATGCATTTATCTCTGCTCTGTTTTTATAAGTATCCCATAGATGAAAATAGGTTTCATTTGACAGGACAGACAGCCTGGTTTACCTTTGTGTGCCTAGCAACTAGCCTAGGCCATGTTGTTGTTATGTGCCGTGAAGTCAGTTCCGACTTATAGCGACCCTGTACAGGGTTTCTGAGGCTGTATAAAGCTTTATGGGAGCAGAAAGCCTCATCTATCTCCCATGGAACAGCTGGTAGTTTTGAACTGCTGGCTCGTTGATAACCACTGCGCTACTAGAGCCTAGGCCATAGGGGGCCAATAAGTATTCAGTTAAGGGAAATCACCTGTGATAGATGAAGACCGTTAGTCCTCTGTGCCTTCTGTATCAGTGATGTGCATTTTTTCTTCTCCTAAAGTTGTTGAGTGCTTTTTGGTTTCTGAACATCCTGCCTATAGGATTGACAGATGTGTTTACTAGATACTTTGCAGTTTTGAGCCATTTTTGTTTCCCTTGTCTTTTTGTTTTAGTGTGAATTATATGATAGTTTACATGGGAGAACATTAGTTTTACATTTATTCTATCGTATATCAATCGTATCATTGCCATGGTTCCAATCCCCTCCATGCATCATCAACCAATCAAAGGGTATACCTGCAAGCCTGCCCCCTACACTAACCCCCTTTCCCCACCCCGAGTCTTCAGCACACAGTTGCTCTCCCTCTCTGGATCTAAAGTCCCCAGCTGCTCCATCGCTCCATGTCATAGGAACCTCCGTTCCTAGACTGGAAAGTTATTCCCTCACTTCCTTGCTATAAAATGTCTACCTTTACGTTTCCAACCTTCACAATCAGTCCTGATAACAATTATTCACTATTGTATCACAAGAAACCCATCCTGCATTTCATTTCATCAGCTCCGCCTAAGCAGATTGAATACTACTCACTGGAGATTCTGCCTTCCTCCAGGCCCCCTGGCTCTAGGTTCCCTCTTGAAAGCTTGTAAGCCAGTCACTTCTTGCCTTTGTAGCCCTCCCCCCCCATTTTGGGTAGCCAATGTCCAAGTTGCCCATCCCTGTCTACTCTGTGTGTGGAGGGGGTGGGAATGATTCTTGCTGTAAGGACTTGTTCCCTCTTTTGACCCACTGCTTCCATAGGTGTAGGTCAAGTTCATCAAATTGCATGAGATTACTCTTTTTTTTCCTCTTCTTTCTTCTTCTGGTTGACCTCTGTTCATCCAGTCATTGAAGCTATCTACAAGTGTGGGTGTTCTTGTGCATATACCCTCTCTTTTTATCAGCTGAACGCTTCACTCTCCACATTAGTGGCTTAGCTCGCCACTTCATTGCTGTTTTTCCCTCACTTCCCCTAATCGGTGAGTCCCTGTCTTTTTAAAAAGAGTTTCTGCCATGGAGGAGGAAATGCTATTGTTATTAGGTGCCTTCAAGTTAATTCCAACTCAGAGACCCTATATAGGGATTTCCAAGGAGCAGCTGGAGCTGGTGAGCTTGAACAGCTGACTTTTGTGATTCAAACTGACTTTTCAGTCTAGTGCATTAACCCAGAATACCATACCAGGGAGACACTAAGCATCTATGACACGGGTTTCCCATGTTTTCTGTCATGATGGTCTTCCCAGTTTGGGACTGCAAGGGTCATTTGAACTACAAGATCGGCGGTTCAGGCTCACCAGTCACTCATAGGAAACCCTATACAGGCGTACTTAAAAACAACAGTTCTGGAGTGTGCCACTGATGGCTTTGTGGCCTTGCCCATCTCTAGCACACTTGGAGAAGTTCTGGTGGAGACACAGGAGCATGGGGAAGAATTGGACACTGACAGGCTGTAGACTGTGGAGATAAATGATTTTCTTGGTTTGCTGTGAAAGTAAGACGTGGTACTCATATTGTTGTAAACTGCTTACTATTTATGTCCTTTTATTCCTTTTTGTTGATTTAGTAACACAAAAAATGAGATGGCCAGAAAAGGGCAAGAAAAAGTAGTTGTAGGCTCTAGATGATCTGAAGAGCCAATGAACATTTCTGAACAGTTGAGGATCTGCTGTATTTATGCTACTTACAAAAATTGAATGTATAGAGCTACAAATCCATTTGAATCCCTGTCTCTTGTGGTTCCCATTGCTTCAGATATAGTCTCTGAAATGGAGTTTCTTTGGCTTGGTTTCTGTTTCTATACAAATCATTGTTTCATTGCTGGTTGTTGTTGAAATAAGCCAACATGTGTAAAGGGGTGGAGATAGGAACAAACTGTAGGTGGAGTTGTTTTTGAAGTAATTCCAGTTAGTATGTTGATACATACATACATACATACATACATACATACATACACACATATACATATATATATACATATAACACATTTGAGTCTTGAGTTAACAGTCGCAATGCAATTTGTTTCATAAAGAATGTCTCATATAATTATGTATTTTAGGTGATATTTTGAATATATTTATATAAAAGCTTTCAAGAATTCACAGATTTACAGAATGACTGGCTGTAGTCAGCAGTTGAGATCAAAGTTGAGGAAAAGGGCTAACTTGTGCCCCCTTGTGGCCAAGTGTCACCCAACTTTCTGCTGTTCAATTGGGAGTTTTTTAAGCTGTAAAAAGTCCTTGTTCCTATCTCTTTATATAACAGAGAGCACTTTTTGTTGGAAAGAGGGGAAGGAAGGAAAAGAGTTTTTATCATTAGGGGTCCATTTTCTAATCTAAAAAACAGACCTTAATGGTTAGGTGGTAATGAGAAATCACTGGTCAAGGTTGAGAGTAAAGAACTTAGCGAATCTAAGCTGCTTAAGAATTTCCTGTTGGCGTGAGGCGTTTTATAATAAGTTAGGGCGCTTTTGTTTGTCTGGCTTTTACCTAGTGGATGATTTTAATCTTGGAGCTGAGATAAAGCCAGAATATAATCCAGAAAACTTGTTCCAAACTGTTGTAAAAATGCCATAAGTATGAGGAAGCTTCAGAAAGTTTGTGGAAAAATGGAATTAAACGATAATGGAATTTTTCTTTGAACTCTTTGAAGCCCCATTCATATATTGCAGTAACTGCACAGAGGTTTATTTGTTTAGCTGGAGAAGTCTCTACTTTGCTTACTTGTGTTTGTATGCTCTGAAGCTCAGTTAAGAGTTTCACCTGTAATTCCTTTTCTCTGTTTGAGCAGCAGACATGTTGAGAAGATTTGTTTCACTGATAGGAATTTTCTTCTCTTGCAGGCTAAGTGTGTGTGGAAACACCCACCTGGTGATGAGATATATCGCAAAGGCTCAATTTCTGTGTTTGAAGTGGATGGCAAGAAAAACAAGGTAAACAAGGAGTGAGTGGTGTTTAAGACAGCAGGGTGGTAATGCTGTACATGCAGAGGGCTTTTTTGTTCTCATTTTACCTTGTAAAGAAGATAGAGCTCTTCTCTTGGCCAAAATACACAATTTCTGTTTGATTAACAATAATGGTATGATTTTTAATTTTAGGCCTTTATCTGATAAAGTGTAGAAATCGCTGACCTCTTTTCTTTGCTTCCAGATCTACTGCCAAAACCTGTGCCTATTGGCCAAGCTTTTTCTGGACCACAAGACGTTATATTATGATGTGGAGCCTTTCCTGTTCTATGTTATGACAGAAGCTGACAACACTGGCTGTCACCTGATTGGATATTTTTCCAAGGTCAGCAGGATCTGGAGATTAAGAAGCTAATGGCCAAAGCAGGGTGATTGATGTTGGCATATGGTGTTTGATAAATCGCTGACAGGAAGAGGTGGTACCCTGGGCAAAGTTGACAGAGAAGCAGAAATGAAAGAAATGCAGATCCACATATCAAAAATTGTTTAATGAACATGTACAATTCTTTATTAGAAGTTTCTGGCCTTGTGAAATGGAGCTGCCCATTATTACTGGCCGGGCCTTTGTCTGCTAACCAGCAAGCCAACTTTCCTGGCTCTTGTCTTCCTCTTTGTTAATTCGCTTAAAACCAGGAATATATTCCTTTTGCCTGGTTGTTCTTTTTTCTGAACAAATACATGGAAAGAAATATTGAAGCATTTGTGTTCAGTCAGCAGTGAATTATTTTTGCAGTTACTACAAAACCCAGTGCTGAAGACAGTTGCGCGTAGTCATTGCCTGGTTCTTTAGCTGGCCTTCTTCTAGCCTAGTTCTTTAAGAGTTAACTATTTTCTGCTGATTTTTTTTTTTTTTTTAATAACTCTGTAATTATGTAATTTGTATATCGTTACTATTACTCATCAATTAATAACACTAAATTTTAGAACATGTTTATGAACCTGAAATGAAACTCCTTATCTGTTTGCCATCATTCCACATTTCTCCCCAACCCTTCCCAGCCTTGTTTTTGTTGTTAAGTGCCAGCGAATTCCAACTCCTAGCAACCCCGTAGGGGTTTCTGAGGAGCGGCTGTTGGATATGAACCACCAACCTTGCAGTTACCAGTTCGGTGCTGATCCTACAACACCACACCAGGACTCCCAGCCTTAGATAACCATTAATAAACGTTTTGTCTTTCAATTTGCTTATTTTGGACATTTCGTGTAAGTGAAATCATAACAATTTGTGATCGTTTGTGATTTTGGTTTTTCTCCTCTTGCAGAATGGAGGCTGGAAGAACTTTCTTTCTATCCTTTTTACAGGACTTAACTGTTTGGATTCCCTTCTTTCTCCTCTAGCATACAGCTTCCTTTTGGCCGGACACTGTTTCTTTCTGTTGTGCATAGGGGTGCTGCTATGTATGCATCAGAACCGACTCCAGCACTTAACAGTGACAACTGTAAACTAACTCAGCATTCTTAACTTTCTTGCCCTGCTCCATGGCAATAAAGAATTTAGAATTGGCTCCTTTGACTGAGACTAAACGTCTCAGAGGTAGGGAAGCCCTAATTGGCAATTTTGCATTGGAAAGGCTGTGGACCCGACAGCCTCTCCCTAGGACTGATTAGCTATTTTGCAAGCAGCTCTTGCTTTGTATCTGTATGAGTGCTGACACCTTATGACCTGCTCATATGTTTGCTTTTGATTTTAGGAAAAGAATTCATTCCTCAACTATAATGTGTCCTGTATCCTTACCATGCCTCAGTACATGAGGCAGGGCTATGGCAAGATGCTCATTGATTTCAGTAAGTGAGATTGCTAAGTCCCTCCATAAGGCAGGGGCTATGTGAATTTGTTTGTCTTTTTTGTACTATGGTCTCTACCATCTGTGGCAGATAATGGAAGTACACTGATAGTAAGTAACATCACCAGTCTGCCTGATACACGTTGAATGTCAGATGAATGAGGAAACCTGAGTTGGTACCTAGTTAGTAGATACCAGCACCGTTTTGGTTCCGACTCATAGGGGACCCTATAGGACAGACTAGAGCTACTTTAAAGGGTTTACCAGGTTGTAATCTTTATGGAAGCAGACTGCCAGATCTTGCTCCCATGGAATGGCTAGTGGGTTCAAACTGCTGACTTTTCAGAGCTGTTGAGCACTTAGCCATCTATGCCATCATGGTTTCTTTGTCAGATACAGATGATAGTAAAGTAAATATTTAGGATTATCCCAATTTGAGACTTTCAAACAGCACATGTACCCATAGCTTCAGATTTGTTGCTTTTATTTTAATCTAAAAATTTTTGCTTCTGCTTTTTATTGAAGAAAGTAAATTAGATTCACTCCTCACTTGTAGACATGGTTAAATTCCAAATATCCGGTCATTGTGCAAAAATTGGCATGATGTAAAAATGAAGGATGACCACATCAGATCACGGTGAAGGACAATTACGTCATTACGTATCTGGCAAACCACTGAGAGTCTTGGCCCAGCCCAGTTGACAAATTGCCTTAAATGTCACTAGCAAGCATCATTCTCACCTTGCACCTTGGTGTTCTTTACTGCCAGATGCATGGCATTTATTCACAGTCAGTTGATGTTTTACTGTTGTCATAAATGCGAAATGTTGGATACACAGTAACGGATGAGTGAAGAGTAGGTGTACTTGTCCTTTAGTGTTCCCAGAGTGTGAATTCTGCTGACAGTATTGTGACACCATAGGATAAGCACTTGACCTCAAAGTCGGTTTGAACCACAAGGTTGACAGTTGAAACTCAACAGCCGCTCCTTGAAAACCCTGTACAGGGTCACTGAGTCAGAACCGACTCAAGGGCACTAAACAACAACAACATCTGCATAATGATTTTGGGTAAATTGAACATTTACATTCTTAGATGTTACATTTAGAGGTATTATCAGATTTGAAGTTTTTTCCCATTTCATTTTATAAGTGGTACAGGGATTTAGAGGAAGAAAAAGGCTATCTAATGAGCGTGACTAGGCTTTCCATGTCTGCCCTAGTACACATTCACAGTTAGCACCATTGCCAGCAAAGCTGCTTGTGAAGCCTTCCAAGTCTAGTGCCCATGTGTGTGCAGAATCATGTTCTTCCTCTCTTGTTTACACAGCAGCAGCATGCTATACTAACCAGCCCCATAGTGTCCTGTTGAATGTTAGTGCTGTGGAGTCAGTGCTAACTCGGCAACGCTGTATAGGGTTTCCAAGGAGCTACTGGTGTGTTTGAACTGCCAACCTTGTGGTTAGCAGTCCAGTGCTTATCCTACAGTGCCACACCAGGCCTCTGTTGAGTGGCTGAACCATAATTACACTACAAAGTAGACTGTACTTTTTAAAACTGCTCCCATGGTGTAGAACATTGGTCTTTGCCATAAGGATATGGTTCAGTGTTGCAAGAAAGTCTGTATATTTGTTTTCTGGCAGGTTATTTGCTTTCCAAAGTGGAAGAAAAAGTTGGTTCCCCAGAGCGCCCCCTCTCAGACCTGGGGCTTATAAGCTACCGCAGTTACTGGAAAGAAGTGCTTCTCCGTTACTTGCATAATTTTCAAGGCAAAGAGATTTCCATCAAAGGTTTGTTTTTGACTCTTTTTAATGGCTGTTAACTAAAATGCTAGTGCTGTTGGAAATTCTCACAATTCTACTTGGCTTCCTGTTCATGCTATTTAACCTGCAGGTCCTATCCTGTTCTGTGTTTTCTTTGCATATAAGAATGGAAGACCCATTGAATATGGGCCACTGCAAAGTCCATCTCGGTACATACACGAGCTTCAGAGACATCCTTGTATACTTAGGGACTAGTGGGAGAATTCAGTTCAATTCTATCTTTGACCTTCTAAGGTACCAAGTGTTGTTTCTAGTTACAGTAGGCTTCCTTTCCTATTATTGTAATAGTCAGATGCAGTGAATGCTTTAGGAACTTTTTATGAACGTATTGGGGTTGAATATGATAGAATCCAACCATTTGGAGCCCATTTGGGCTTCTTCAAAGGGAAGAAGGTCTCTGGGGCCACTGTGTACTGGGCTAGGTTTTTAGTACCTACCTCTTCTGTTTCAGAAATTAGCCAGGAGACAGCTGTGAATCCTGTGGACATTGTCAGTACTCTGCAAGCCCTCCAGATGCTCAAGTATTGGAAAGGAAAACACCTCGTTTTAAAGAGACAGGTGAGGTTTTTATCAGTTACTTGTTCATGGCTGGATATCCCTGGAGACTCAGCAGAGCGAAGTAAGCCTTAAGACCCCCAAAATAATGTTCTTTTTAAAGGGGTTCGGGGACTTGGCTCATAGCATGGCTTGGAGCTGGCAGTGATGTCTGTATTGTTTGTTACACTTGTCATCTGCCTTGTCTTATTTGGTAAGCACCTCTCAAATTTGAGTGGCACAATGTGTTAAGCAGTTCCAGTTTAGCCACTTTTGATGTACAGCTCTTCTGTCATTTGGTGGTTTTTATAGATTGGCAAAATGTGCCCACCTGTAGAGGTGTCGAAGTGCTTTTTAGTCCCTTTAACATGCCATCCTAGCTTGTGTCCTCTTAAGGATTTTAATTGTTTCATGTGTAATAACAAAAGTGAATACTATTTTACGGAGTAAGAAATGCACGAGGTAGGAAAGCATTTTGTAAATCCAAAGATTGCTTTGGATTTTACCCATATATTGAACCTTTGTGGAGATTCTGTCTCAGCCAGCAGTCATTTTGAAATCTATATGGATATAGAAAGACCTTTTAGTGTAATGTCTCATTTTCCCATTGTTCTCCCCTAGGACCTGATTGATGAATGGATAGCCAAAGAGGCCAAAAGGTCCAACTCCAATAAAACCATGGATCCAAGCTGTTTAAAATGGACCCCTCCCAAGGGCACTTAAAGTGACCTGTTGTTCCGAGCCAGCGAACCCCAGCAGTAGGAATCCGTACCCTAGGGATCTGTCTGTCATTTCTGTTGCTCTTGTGATTGGCAAGGGCAGTATCCTTTGGGAAGGCCACCCCCCTCAGGACTGTCCTGGCTCCGACCTTCGTGTACACTGCAGACGCTGGTTCTGAGGAACTGTTGTTTCGGCCTCAGTGAGGTTGCCTGGATGGGATCTGGATTAGACTTGAGTGCAGATCCCTCATAGCACTGACCCAAGGAGTTCTGTCATGGTACTGTACCTGTCCAGTCACTGGTTCTCCTCACGTCCTCTAGCCCCATGGGGTTGTGTTGTGTCTTCTAAACTGTTTGTAATTGTGCTTCTTGCCACTGGGTCACCAGACTTCCGAATATGGTTACCACTGCCTGGACCTTTCCAGTTATTCCATACATGTGTGTTTTTTGGGGGCAAGGCCGAGGTAGCATTTCTGAGTGTGTATGTACTGGGAGAGGTCCTTTCACTTTGGATTTCATCTTGTTTTACTTCTTTATTGCCCCACCACCACACACACACACACACACACACACACACACACACACACACACACACACATACATACATCCCACATTAATACAAAGATCTGGTGCTGATCAGTATGAGGCTGACCAGCACCAGATGCTTTTTTGAAGAGTTTCCCAGGGATGTTAGCTCACAATCATCCAAATGAGATGGAGAGAAGCATTAGGAGGTGGCAATTCTGTATTTTAATTTGAGTCCACCTGTGGACTCAAATACATCAAAATGCTATATATTGAAGAGCATGCAATAAAATCCTTAGTATAAATTCAATAAATATGGAAATGGCTAGGAAATTTGGCGAGAAATGAGGTGCTAGGAATGGAGGGCAGGAAAATGGTCATGGAGGTGCCACTGGAACTGGCACTTGTTGAAGGTATGATGCATTCTAGGAGGGAACAAACAGGAAGAGCAGACTCCAGTATACCTGGGTCTGTTTCAACTTTCAAAGGACAGTTGGAAGCTCACTTGAGCAGAAGGAACAGAATGTACAAATGTATCCAGGTAGCATACAGAGAGGACAGCCAATCATCTGAGATGACTAGAAGGTGGGGTAAAAGGAAATGGATCAGAAGAAGAAAGGGCCTTGAGTGGTAAGCACCAGGAAGTACCCAGTAGTAAATGTTTTCTTCTCTCCTTGCTCCCTGTCCGTTTTCACATTTGCAGATGCAAAATAATTTCCAGTTCTCTTTCCTGTTACCTGTTAGCTGGTTAGTTATGCTGCAGAAACCTTTTCACCAGTACCAGTCTGATATACCTCTTCTCTGCTTCTAAATACATTGCATTGGGGTAGAAACTAATGGAAAGCATGTCTCTCTCAGTTCATGACTCAGTAAGGCGGAACAGCCACCCCTGCCAAGGTTTCTTCTCTACAACAGTGCCTCACTCACTCACTCACTCACTCACTCACTCACTCACTCACGGAAGTGCTGCTCTCCCTGAGGAACTCCATTTCCTTTTTTGGATGTGTCATCATCCCCCTGTTCTCTGGTCTTCTATTTTTGGTGGTGTTCAAGTGAAGGAAGAAATGTTCCCTCTAATTTCTCTCCAGCCTGTTGTAACCTGCTATCTTGGGGCAGCTTTTGATGTATGACATGTTACCCCTCCCAACTTGGTCTCTGACAACATTGCCGTCCTCATGTGGAGCTCTCACCACAATCTGGTCATTTGTGCCTTTCTCTTGTCATCTCTATACACTACTTATATTCACTGTGGGTTTTGGGGGGCACTCATTTTAAGCATGTTCAGTGGCAGCTCCCCACCAGTTTCAGTGTCACTGTTAAATTTATCCAAAAGCAGCTTCACTAGGGGTTTTCTTAAGGGGTAAAGGCCTTTTACAGAAGCTAAACCCTTCCCCATGTGTGGTAGAATGTGCTGTTCTATATCTACTTCTCAATAAAGCATGTTCTCTGCTCAAGTCTGTTTTGCCCAGGAACTTTGATTTCCATCTGAAGGTGTTGCAGCTGGCCTGCTACTAATAGTAAATGCACTTTGAATTTGGTTTTCCTAGCATTAAATTGCCTGTTGAGGGATGTGGGTTGTGGCTATGGAAATGTTATTTCTCTGATGCAGGCTATCTATAGAGGGAAAATTAAATCTGCCTTAGTTCCGGTGCCAGCTATTATACGTAGGTATGCATAGCAATGACTAGTCAGTAAGTTCATTCCCCTGGTTTTCAGGGGAAAGGGCCCAGCAGGATGGTCAAGGTGGGGGTACAGTCAGTACATGGGGAAGATGGGAAGAGGTGACCCCTCCCCTCCAGTCATTGCTTCCTGTTTCTAAAGGTGGCTGAATTTCCTTTAGGGTTTACAGAGTGTGTGGTGGGGGGAGAATTTGCTGAAATGGTTTGGTTAGTAGTGATGACAACTATCTCAGATAAACAGGACCCTCCTTTGTTATTTTGGAAGGTGGTGGTAGAATGGAGAGTTCAAGGTTACAGAAAGTCATATCAGCACAGATTTTCCTACTTTAGATATTGACACCAAAGGGACATAAGCTCTCCCAAAGCCTTAAAAATATCAAAGGTAATGTGGGCCATGAGAATTTGGAATGCTGAGATGTGAAAGCAATTGAGATTTTATGCACCATCCTGATCCCACCTGAAAAATCAAAGGAAGATTTCTCCATTTTAAACAGTGTTCACTTTTCTTGACAGCTGAGGATGGCTGTCTAAGCCCTATGACTCCCTTTTGTCTGCATGAACTTAGCTCAACTGCTTGGACTCCTTTGTTTGAAGAGCTAAAGTCTGGGGTTTATTCCTTGATCTAACTCCTGAAGCCTGCTGCTTAGAAGCACCTGTTCTTTCTGGAGGAAGAGACGTGGCATGGTGTGCACTGAGTGCCTTCTCATTGCCTCATTTGACCCTAATGTTAGCCCTGTGGAGCAAGGTGATGGCAATAAGTAGTGTAGCCAGAATTGCATTCTGGTTCATGCAGCTGGAGAACACACAACACACTACCATTTGCTTGTGAATGTTGGACAATGAATAAGGAAGACCATAGGATAATTGATGCATTTGAGTTGTGGTGTTGAATATTGAAGATACCGTGGATCTCCAGAAGAACAAACCGGTCTGTGTTGGAGCCAAGTACAGCCAGAGTGCTTCTTAGAAGCCAGGATGGTGTGACTTTGTCTTTTGTATTTGTTATCAAGAGGGACTAGTCCATGTTTGGTAAAGTGGAGGGTCGGCAAAAAGGACGACCCCCATGAGATGAATTGGCACAGTGGCTGTAGCCGTGGGCATAACAATTGTGAGGATAGTGCTGGATCCCGCAGTGCTTCCTTCGGTTGTGCATAGGATTCAAACTGACTCCATGGCAACTAGCAACCATTTGCTTCAACTTTTCAATTTCTTTATGATTTTTCAACCTAGTTCTTGCTTCAGCCACAAGCTAGTTCCATTGCAAGGATAATAGTGAAGCCAGTAAGAACTGTACTGACTAAATAATTGACTTCAGTTGATCTAGATGCAGTAAATTGGGGACCAGGAAGCTAAAGATGATCCTCATTCTGGCTCTACTTCCTACACTTCCTGTTTATAATATGTATGGGAATGAGGTACTGTCCTTCCCGCCATGGGATTTTATACATTCCTCACAGCAGTAGGCATTATGCCCTCTGTTCAGATGAGAGTATCTGTGACTCACAAGTCTTGGTGCAACTTTCTAGATACAGGATGAGAACCTTGGTGCTCTGATTCGAAGCCTAGAGTCCCTAGTGGGTCATTTGGTGCCTCTGTATACTTTTGTGATCTGGTAACCAAAAAGTCAGCAATTGAACCCACCCAGTAGTTCCTGGTGTGGCACTGTGGGCTAATACATCAGACTGCAAAGTCCTTTGAACTCGAGGTCGGTGGTTCAAGCTTACCAGCTGCTCCTTGGAAACGGTCACTGTGGGTCAGAATCAACTCAACGACACTTAACATGTAGCTCCTTAAAAAGTCCTGGTTCCTGCAAATACAGCCAAGAGAAACGAGCAGTTCTCTCCACACATGACTTAGACTTGACAGCAACGTCTTAATAGAAGTCAGGTATCCCAGTATGCTAGACTCTTGGGCAGAAAGCCCTGGGGTGACACAGTGGGTTAAGTATTGGGCTGCTAACTGAAAGATTAGTGGTTTGAATCCGTCATTCACTCCTTGGAAGAAAGATTAGTCTGCATGCACAACTTCCACTCTTGGGCCCTTGCCGGTTTCAGCAGAACTTCCACATGAACTAGGAAGAAAGACCTGGTAATCTTACCTATGGATCACAAAGGTCCAGCCTGCTGCAACCCGTCATGAGAGTGCATTTCACTCTTAGACATAAGTTCACCATGAGTCAGGGCAGCTATATAAATGTCAGCCCTTTATATAGCAAGATAAAATTTTGTCATTCTGTGGCAGGTTTCATGGAGGGTGGGTTGGGTATGAATCATGTTGAAGAGAGTTGCCCATGTTCAGCCAGTTGATTGAGATCAAGGTTGGAGCTACATGTGAACTTCTTTAAAAAGTAAGTATGCAAAAATAGACCACAGCTTGCTTCTGTGATACTTTCCTCCTGGAATGAAAAACAGGGTTTTTTTGTTTTGTATTTTTTAAAATACATCAAGGAGCTTCAGAAAGTTCCTGAAAGAATTCAGTTATCTTTAAAAAATAATTCCATAAACTTTATAGCCCCCTCATCTAATAATACCTGCTTTTATTCCTTTGAATCAATCAGTAGATTTGTGGAAAACTATTTGTGAGAGGTTGGATCAAACAGCATCACTCAGCAGTGAGGTTGGCTCTTCTGATGTTGAAACTCACCAAAACATCAAGTCCTTTGTGATGAATGCACATGTTCAAATATGCATGCCCATTCATTCATGAGACTACCCTTGAAGTCTATTCCTCAACATGGATTTGAGAAACTGGTTTGAGAGAAAGCCCCATGAGAAGACAGGGATCTTGCTCTCTGCCCACCCTTCCTCATACCCCAAGGCCTTAAACCACTTCAGCCCATGAGATTGGACTCATGATAACTGAAAGAAAGGCCTAAACTCACTCGTTGACCCTCAGCATTCTTCTCCATGGGTCTCACAGGTGATATGTGCAAAATATCAAAGCCATGCATATTTTTTATGAGAAAATATTAAAATGAATTTGCTAAATAATATATGTAGTATGTGCTACGAATTCTAGAAACCACTTGCTGGTCACTGGGATAATGGAATTACAGAATTGAAACTGGTTTTGTGCCAGCACTTGGCTACTACAGCCTTGTATAGCTGCCTTGTCCAGAATTTGTCCTGCTATCTGGGCAGTCTAGTTGCACATTTCCTTTGTGGTATCTTTGACAAAATGGCCAATGACATTGAGAAACAATACCTGATGGTGAAAATGCCCTTGATGCTGCAACTTTCATTGGTCCTTTCCCTCTTGTGCACAACCTAGGTCTTTGGATGCAAGTCATGCTGCCACAGTCTTGGGATTTGGGAGTGGAGAAGATAACCTAAGG